CAGGGGAGACACAGCCAGCCTATGGCCACAGTTACCTGGAGACCTGTGAGTATGTCCCCATGTGGCCCCCCCAGCTGCTGGCATGCAGGGCCAGGCTGAGCCCTCTTTACCCCCCTAGACACAAGGAGAAGCTTCCTGCTGCACCGCCTGGGCAGCTGCCACCTGTCCCATGTCACTGGTGCCATGTTGCATGCGCTTCTCTCCCAGTGTCCCCACAGCCTGTACACGGCCGGCTGGGATGCCCGGCTCCTCTTCCTGCCGCTCAGCTACTGAGTTCCTAAACAGTTAATTGGGCTTAGCAAACCTGTTAGACATCCCCAGTAGATGCCACACGTCACATTCCAGGCCCACGTGTCCCCAAGGGGCTGGGCTGCTGCTTCCTGAGCTGCTGGAGGTGACACTGCAGCCTCAGCTGCACCTACCTGGGGACTCGTGTGCCCACATCCCTCCGGCAGCATCCTGGGATGGGCAGGAGAGTAGCAGGTCCTGGTGCTGCCTGCAGCCCACCTCACTCTGGGTCTGTTTTCACTCCCTCAGCGGTGCCGGGCTGGCAGAGGGACCCAGTGCCCATATTTCACCACAGAGCAAAGCACTGGCAGGTGGAGGAGGGAACAGCCAGGCGCAGGGGGGGCATCATCAGCCTTTCCTCTTCTCTGTCTGTCCATCCCCTGATCTGCTGGGCTCCACAGGACTCACTCAGATTGAAGTGTCCACCTTCCAGAGAGGAAACGTCCTTTTCCCACTTACATCCAAACAAAAGGGAGACCCAGCCCCTCAGGGTGGCTGGGGGCTCCCGGGCACACATTTCAGTGCTGAGAGCCTCTGGGTGCCCCAAACATTGGGACGGGGATGGAGAAAAGAGGCTGAGCCACCTGCCCTGCTCCCCACAGCTTGGGAATGCTCCCAGCTCCCCTGGCAGCCCCCAACAGCAAAGGTTTGCAGCACCCAGGCCATTCTCGATCCAAGAGTTCAGTGTGGAAATTTCCTAACCTGTTCCATGGAAACCAAACAGCATTCCTGTGCCCCCTCCCAGCCCATTGGTCAGCAGAGCGGCCTGTCAACCCCCCCCCAGCCCCATCCCATGGCCGAGCTGAAACGTGCTCTGTTGCAAGCACGAAGCTGCCAAATTCCTGTTTGCAGCTGGGGCCGGGTACCTGCGCGCGGGGTCACCACGACTGTTGTTGTCAGACCCGACTTATCAGTGCCCTCGTGCTTCCCTGCTCTGGCTGTGCCTTCCTTCCGAGCCGATTGTTGATCACAAATTCTTGTCTGCACTTGAAAAGGAGATTTCCTGCAATTGTTTTGCTGGACTTGCAGCTTGATGCAAAACTTTCTGCCTATCACCCCCTCCCCAGCACCAGGGCAAGGCTCAAGCCCTTTCCCTTCCCCTGCAAAACTGCCAGGCAATCACAGCTCAATGATTAATTGCTGCCCGGCCAGAGGTTTCTGTGGCAATAGACATCTGCTACCAACCCCTGTGACAGCTCGGAGCAACGGGCAGCGCTGACCTGGCAGAGAACTTCGGCTTTCAGCCCTTTTCCCCCCAAAGGTAGCCCTGAGCTGGGCATCAAGGAGTTGGTGGCACATTCACCTGAACCCACCTCAGCCCCTTGGGACTCCCAGGGCAGGACCCGACTCAGCTGGACCCATTCCAGAAGACATATTTGCCCTTCCTGTCTGCAACTGCAAGGGGACGGGGCAGGGCCCAGTCCCCAAAAGCAGTGGGGCTGCAGGAGCAGGGTCCCACAGGGGTGCTGGTGGAGGGGGCTGCTGGGGACTCGGGGACTCCCACTCCAAACCCAGGCTCCCACATGGACACCTGTCCGGGGACTCCCTGTGCCTGTCCCCAGCCCTGCAGCAAAATCAAATGGGAGCCAAGCCCCAGTCAAATGTCCCCTGCACTGGGCTGTCTCAGGATGTCTGACCACGATGGTCATTTCCTGCCGGGAAGCAGCCAACAAGCCTACCCCAAGATCTGCGCCGCAGCAGCAGCTCTGCCAGAGGCACCCAAGCTGCTGAGCCGAGAGGATCGCTGCGCCCCCCGAGCAGACCCTCTCCCAGCCCTCGGCTCTGCTGCCGGTGAGCCAGCGCTGTCCTTGCTGCCCGCGGCCCTCTGTCCCCGTTCCCACCCGCTTCGGTACCTGCAGCTTGGAGAGGGCGGGAGGCTGATGAGCCTCAGGGACAAGGGGTCCAGCCTCATGGGCTTCCCCTCCTCTCCTCCATGGTTTGGGGAGGGGGCAGGTGAGGGCTGTCTGCTGCAGGGTTGGTGCTGAAGGCCTGGCTGTGGCTCCAAAAGCTGTGGAAATGCCCAGCGACACGGCACGCAGCTCTGGCTTTCCCGGGGAAACAGCTGGTCTCGCCGGCCCTTCCAGCGGCACGAGGCTGGACCGGGTCCGCGGCATCTTCGCCATGCGGATGCAGCTGTGCTGGGATCAGAGCTCTCACACTTGGGGCAATAAAAGGATGTTAAGGTCAACTGCATTTCCCTTAAGTTTATAATTTTCTCACCTACTTGGAAGTGCCGATGGCTCCAGCGCCGCAGCGGGCAGAGCAGGGGCGGCTGGCTGGGCTGGGGAGGTGACCACACACTCTGGGCTCACAGGGGAGCTCAGCTGTTCCTTTGTATTTCCAGGCTGTTTTGCTCAGTGCAGCCACTGAGCCACAGCTCAGTGATTTCCCTCTCCTTGCAGCTACGAGGATGGCTGAGACAACCACTGCACCCCCCGAGACACACACGCTCTTGAACGAGTACAGGGACTACCACAACTGGTCCGAGCTGTTCCAACTCCTGAACTACACCTACACCTTCTGTGAGTTCAGCCTGGATGAGAACGTCAAGCGAGTGATCCTCTTCATCCTTTACCTGGCGATCTTTGTGGTAGGCTTGGTGGAGAACCTACTTGTCATCTGGGTCAACTGGCAGACACGGGGCAACAGGAGCTTGGTCAACCTCTACATCATCAACATGGCTGTTGCTGACCTTGGAGTGCTGCTCTCGCTGCCCATCTGGATGCTGGAGGTGATGCTGGATTACACCTGGCTCTGGGGCAGCTTCCTCTGCCGCTTCACACACTACTTCTACTTTGCCAACATGTATGCCAGCATCTTCTTCCTCACCTGCCTGAGTGTGGATCGCTACGTGTCCCTCACCAGCTCCTCCCTCTTCTGGCGCAAGCACCAGCACCGCACACGTCGCATCATCTGTGCCTGCAGCTGGGTCTTGGCAGCAGCCATCTCGTTCCTGGAGGTTGCTCACATTCAGCTGGTCAACACCGGAGAGCCCATCTGCATCTTTGTGGCCCCCTTCGAGACCTATGACGAGTGGGCGCTGGCAGTCAGCTTGGCCACCACCACCATTGGGTTCCTCATCCCTTTCCCCATCATCACCGTTTTCAATGTCCTGACAGCCAGGTTCATCAAGCGCACCAAGCCGGAGAGCACGAAGCACTGTCAGCTCATCTATGCCTACATCGTGGTGTTCCTCATCAGCTGGCTGCCCTTCCACATCATGCTCACACTGCTCACCCTCGATGGCAACCACATCATCCTCCACTGCACCTTTGCCCACTTCCTCTACTTCTTCTACGACATCATAGACTGCTTCACCCTGCTCCACTGCGTGATTAACCCAATCCTCTACAACTTCCTGAGCAAAAACTTCCGCAGCAAACTCATCTCTGCTGTGGTTAAGTACATCCCTAAAGACCAAGGCACCCAGAGGGGCGCAGACAATTCCTCCTCCACCACGCAGCACTCCATAGTCATCACAAAGGACAATAACCCTCCCAATTAAGGGAGATCAGACTCTCCCACTCATCACTGGCAAGCGTTCCGAGGCCAGGAAGACCATTTTCCCTGGTGATTAGCAGACACTTTGCTTTAAAACAGCTCCTTGCTGGCCACTCCCTGTTCTCTGAAGCCAGGGGCAGAGTCAAAAGTGAACTGCAGTGGTGTGGGGAGCTACAGACAACTTGCTTCTGATGTGCTGCTCTAGCAGATCTATTTAATCCGAGAAAGAATAGAAGAAAGAGATATTTCCTGTTTTCCAAAAGAAACACTCGCCATAATAAAGTGCGTGACTCCTGCTCAGAAGCCTGACACAAACCCAGCCCCTGGACCCGACCCCCTCTCTCCCCAAGCTGCGGGGCTGAGGCGCACAATCTTTTCTTGTCACATTTTTCTGCAGCCCATGACCCTCCTGCACACCTCCCTGGACCCACCTCTGTAGAGGTGTCCAGTGAATGCCATCCGTGATGCCATCCTGACTAGGACAGAGGGAATTCATTCCTTGGACACATGACCCACTCCTCCCCATGCTCAGCAGAGAGCTACAAGCCTGATTTTACAGACATGAAGGCGACGCATCCCTGAGGGGCTAAGCCCAAGAGACCGGAGTGGTGATGAGGGGAGGAACAATTTGAGAGCAACTCACCAAGAACCATTTTACCAACCCTGAAGTAAATCAGTGAAACTGAGTTAGACTGGGCAGGGCTGCTTCCAAATACAACTGACAGCAGCAGAGGTGGAGTTCCCAGTTTGTGTTTTTGTGTTTGCAGCTAGACACCCACCCCAGTCTTCTCCAGAGCATCTCTTCACAGGTCTCTGTGCTGCTCCAGCAGCCTTGACACACACTCCCTTGCAATCAAAGTTGCACTGAAGCATTCTTCTGAGAATGCAAACGCCTGCGGAAACTCTCGGCGCTGGAGCAGGACCGGGAACTCGGCTGCCCAAGGAACTGGAGCATCCGGAGAAAGCTCATCCCTGCCTGGATTCTGCTCAGTCATGTGCTGTGGGTCAAGCCCTCAGCAGGGGAAGGTGAAAGAGTGACAGTTGCTGGGAGTCCATAAATCTACAAAAGGCCTTGAGCTGCTCAAGAAACACGTATTTTAAAAAGCAAAGCAAAGCAAATCTGGGGACAGGATGCTGGCAGCACAGAGTGGTGGGGGAGCCGGATGTCCCAGCTGTGGAGGAGTCCAGGATCAGGGTGAACTGGGACATGGGGTCACCAGGGTTGGGCTGGGAACATGCTGCTGAGATGGGTAAACAAGGAACACCTCTGGGCTCCTTGTGCACAGAGATGTTCCCCCTGACTGCCAGGGGACACCAGTATTGGGAGAAAAAGCCAAATCTGCCACTTACATAGTTTGTTCTGCAGCTGAGGAAGAAGCCAGTCTCGTGTCCTTCAGGATTTCTGCACCTACGTGGGACCTCACCATCTCCCTTCTGGGCACAATGTGCAGTGAACCCAAGCAGCCCCAACCCGGCCGGTGAAGGTGAAAGCAGCTTCACACTGACATGACCCACAGCTCTGCTCCCAAGTCTTCCTGTCAAAAATCTGCCATTGTCAATGAAGATGTGGAAGAGAAGTGCACAGTAATAAGACACTTGAGGTGTGACATAACCACGACAGGAAGATATTAAATTACAAGTTACTTAAACATGTAAATCTTGGTATCTGACCTATTAAACTTGTGTTTTTTAAACTTTCCTTATGCTTCTGCATCTTTGTCCACGGATCTCAGGGAGAGTAGCTTCAAATAAACCCTCATTCACCCCACACAATGACCTGGGCTGGAAGCCCAGCACACCCTTTATCTAGTCCCTCAGTTTTTTTAAGACCTTCACCAGCCCTTGGGTTAACTGGCCTGGCTACAGGCTCCTTCACTGGCTGTAGATGCCCGGACCACCTTCCCAGCACTAACCTCCAGTGCCTGTGGCTGGTCACAGGCTAGTGACAGGGTTCAGTCCTGTCTCCCCAGAAAAGTTCTGCCTAAGCAGCTCCAGCAGTGAGAGGGGGCAGCCCCAGCAGGGCCTTGGGGGCAGGTTCCAGCCCTGAAGGGAGTTTCGCTGCTGGAGAAAAGCAAATCCTGGACAGACAGAAGTGACAATCTGCAGTTTTACAAAGAAGTGAGGAACAAGAGGTGAGCATTTTCCATTTTATTATTCTAAATAAAAAACACACTTTGTGCTGAACAATGGAGTATAAAAGAACCCGATGTACAACGATTTTAGACATCTACTATTTGGGGGGAAAGTTTACAAAATATACAAAACTTTACAGCAAATAGATAGTAAACACTTAAATATCAGGAGGTCAGTACCTACTATTAACTTAACAAAAAAGGTTAGACAGCAATTCAACTCTTTTTCTTTCTTGCTTCATTATTTGATGAGACCTGGATCCTTTGAGAAAGGGGAGAACAAACCTGAACTCTGTGATTTCACAGCCGGGGTCAGAGTGGTCTCGAGGCGCTGCCGTTGGGAAGGAGGTTGTCAGGACTTCCATGAAGTGCCGTGATCTGGCCACTCTCCTGATGCCACCGGCACTGCCCGCGGGGAAGCGATTCCCCTCCGCACCCCGCAGGTCCCGGCGCACTTTGCAAACATGAGTTGAACCTCACAGCCACCCCGGGCGAGGTAGGTAAGTGTTGTCCCCACACCGAGGGAGGGAAAGGGAGGCCAGGAGGTGAGTGAGGAATAGAGCCAGGTGCTGGGATCCCACCCAGCTCCCCCAGCACTGCTTGGCCCGGCCCTGCCACACGCTCGGCTCCGGCTCTCACCGGTGCCTTCCCTGTGACGCAGCCAGGCCAGAGCAATGACTCCTCTACAGGGACGAGGTAGGTAAGTGTTGTCCCCACACCGAGGGAGGGAAAGGGAGGCCAGGAGGTGAGTGAGGAATAGAGCCAGGTGCTGGGATCCCACCCAGCTCCCCCAGCACTGCTTGGCCCGGCCCTGCCACACGCTCGGCTCCGGCTCTCACCGGTGCCTTCCCTGTGACGCAGCCAGGCCAGAGCAATGACTCCTCTACAGGGACTCAGGATGAGCCCCATGGCTCCACCTGCATGGCTTTCAGCAG